GTACATATATTTATCGAAAAACGAAAATCCCCGGCACTTACTTCGCGGAAATACGAAATAGTTCGTAGACCAAATATTGTAAGATACTCGCGATAGTCGCCTACTTTGTCCGTGTAAACATTGTAAAACTCCTCGAATTGTGGTGGAAAAGGCGGTGCTGGAAAAAAATCGATTTTTCCCGGCCGGGCGGGTTGCATGAAAAGGGCTTTTCCTGACTCAACTGAAATTAACAAGTTTGATTTTAGATCGTAGATAAATGTGCAGTGTTGACTTTCGTGTGATTTATTATTTTAAGTAGCTCCAAGGGTTACGATTCGTGGAAATTCGCAGTATAACTTTTTTACTTAAAACTTTTCGCAATTTATTCCGGGTTTATGTTATTCCCGTTTAAAGGATTTTATTGCAAGGTAATTCGGTTTCTGCGAGGTGTATCGAGTTTATTCTAATAAGATAATACCGGGGTTATTTTTCGCCCCGAGAACATTTTAGTGCATATAAAATTAAAAGACTCTTACCTTAGCGAATTTCCTTCTACTGTTAAAAACCGCTACAACGAAATTACTTCTGCTGATCGTTCTGAATGTTTACGCTCACTTTTATACACCCTTAAAAATATCGACCATTAGCCCGAAATTTCAGTACGGGATAAATATCCCGCCCCCTTGCAGCCATAACGCGACCTTAAGTACGAGTTCTCCGAGCCACCGGAGGCAATATGAAAGATTTTTTGGACCGTTAGGGATGTTTAGAGGTCATTGAACAGTGGAAAAATGTGGATGTTTCCCTATATGGGTCACTAGTCGCGATGAATTCCCCGGAAAAATTCCCTAACAGCTTCCCTTTATGGAGCGCTTCCGGTTTATATCGGATGGAAACCGAACCAGCACAAAGGAAAATACCGAGTTTAATCAGTTTAAAGAATTTAAAATACAAGGCGATTTACGAGCCTGATATTTGGTTTCATCAAATTTCTATCGTATAAGAAGGTTTGTTTGTTCTTCTGATTAATATTCGCAAAAATCCGCTTTTTAACCGAGCTTTGCGGAGTTTATGGACCGCAGAATACGAGTCTGGCCCTTTTGATATTCGCCAACAATAATTGGCTTAGCCCTAAACTTGACCCTAAATCACGGAGGGACGCCGATCCGCCCGTTAATATAGAATTAGAGATGCCGGACATACCAAGATCCATTAGCGGAATTTGCGCTTGATGCGGCATTAGCTCCGGAATCGAGACTTTATACAAACGGCGAATACGAGGAATTTAATCCGGTATGTAGCGATCTCCGGTCCGGATTCTTGTTACACAAACACCGGCTTCTTTAGATTAAAACATTAAAATATACTTTTTCCCAGATAACCGACTGAACTCGGGAGATGTATAAATTACTTTAATTCGAGTTTGCAACGGTAACGGAGCTAAAGGGGGATGAAAGACAACCCTTTTTCGCCTTACGAATCATGGTGCTGCGTCATTCACCCCTTTAATTACCTCTATTAATTCTTGAGTAGTAACAAAGGTGACTAGTTACTTCGAAATTAATTCTTAAAGAACACATTAACAATTTTCAATCAAATTGCGTAGCTGTTTAATAGAATAATCCCGGCTTGTTAAGTAAGATCTGTTGATACAAGATGGAAAGCTTACCGATAAACTTCCGAACGCAAAGGATTGGCATCGATTTCGCGTTTATCTGGCATCTTGCGATAGTTTTTTTTCTCTGTTTCGTTTCTCCTTGCTTTGGTTTTTTTCCCTTCGGCGAGACGGGTTCGAACTCGCGTCCCGCGACTTTAATTTATTCATAAATTCGATACATTTATTATGAAAATGAATCGTTTTCATTATTCAACAGTTCGTGCTGGGCGATTCTCGTGTGCTACCAAAGGATACTCAGCCTTGCGAATGCAGATTTTTGCCAAATAATTCTTTCTATATTCTACTAATTGTCTCAGAAAATTCAATTACCTTACTTACTATTCGGAATTGATTATATAAGTTATTAGTTTCGTAGGGAATTGAAAGAGTATTGGATAGATATCGGTATCACCCTGTACAAACGTTTCTTTATTCCTCACGATGTTTACATTGTCCAAGAAAAGAGGGGAATTTACATTACAAAATGTGTGTAACTATAGTCGGCGAACTAATAAATGGTAAAAAATGTATTTGTATTATGCATTTACATTTGTCGAACGATTTATTCTGCCAGAAAATTTAAATAATTCACGTCATACGTGAGGCGGGCTGTTGAATAATCGATGCCAATGTCTTTAACAAGCCGAGCATTTTATTCCCATCTAGATTAATATTAATAAAGATATTTCCTTCTGGAACCTCTATAAGAATTCTGCTCCATTTTATTGTATAAGGCGAGAAATCTATCCATGAACTTTGCATATTAAATATGCAGTATATTACCTTAACAATGACATTGTTACAGTATTCTCAAGATTTATCTTCCCTGGAAAAGAAAAAAAATATCTTTTCCACTATAATAAATTTAAAGTTATCTTCATCATCACAACATTTATTACAATTTCCATCTAATGTGTAACTTCTACGTTCTACCACGATTAGCAATTGACAAAACGAATGACAATTCCCCCTCTAATAAAGCGTCTTCTTCAATAGCATTAATAACAGTGTTACTATCATCTCTAATGAATGTTCCATCTAAACAATTGGCCGGATTGAATGGACGTGCAATGGTTCCATTCTCGTTGCGGACGAACAATGAAAAAAATGGGAATGGCGATAATCTAAAAAGATAACTGCCCGACAGCATTCGACGAAAACATGGAAGGACACAAGGACACTTTGCGATGCTTCAGCTGTTTTGAATGCACCGAACGGATTGAAAGGGACTTACTCGACGGTAATTAGTATTGGGGAAGGTCCTGAATGCGGCGGAGGGTCTCGATGGTAGAAGTGCTTTCGATCGTACAGTATAAGGTAACAATGCGCGAACCCTTTTCGCATTGAATTTCGTGAGAATTTCGGGAGGATTAACTGGGAGAAAAACGTTTGTTTTTGGTTAACGATGGGGCTTGATAAGTGTATCGAAAACGGGGATGAGTCACGGTCGAAAATTCGAATGTATCTCGGAAACTCGCATGCAAAATCGAACAAATATAAGCAGATGGCGTTGAATTATCTATCTACGGAAACTAAAACTCGTGTTTCCTATTTTCGTATTCAGGCAAGATGCTACGAAAATAATTTAACAGAAATAATAGAGGCACCCCCCCTTAAATTGCACTATCAGCGCATCGATATGAAATTTTTGCGCAAGGTGACGTTAAATTTATGAATCCATGATAACGTCGAGTTTTCTTTAGCCCAGTCAAACTAGCGTAGAATTTCAAACCTAATCTCCTTACATAATCGAATTATAACAAGAACAATTTATTATTGTTTTACATATTAAAAGCGAGTGCAAGAAACTAATAGATTAAGTTAAGAAATTAAAGATTTGTTAGCGCTTGGACCGTACTAACAGCGATTCCGCGATAGCATCAAGTTTTGCTGGTGAAGCATAAAGAATGTACGAAGCAGGCGAGTGTCGATATATCATTTTCTACTTATCTCTACCAGATTTTTATTAAATAAATTAAAAACGCCGCCGATCCGGACAACGTGTGGGCTAATGTTTGATGGCTCTTTTCGCCGACAACATATTCACTGGATTGTCCTCTAGCCGAAGAATACAACGCGACAGACAAAGAAATCGGTTATATAACAGTAATCCCCGCAAAATCCAATTTACCGAAAGAGATATCACGAGAATGATCGTCGGCCCCTCCGAGGTGGAAATAACATCATTCAAATACACCTTATACTGATATGCGAGGAACATCGGGCTATAAAAACAGTGAGACGGGTGCGCGAGAGAAAAGCCGAGCGGGGAAATATGCGTGGAAGGAAACCTTCGACTACCAAACAGAATATCGTCGTTGTTGACCTCGTTTCCTTCAATATTTGATTTCACTTATAGGGCAATATATAATAAAATTTCTTTGCTTGCGACTTTCCATTAGATCCCCGTATCAGCCACCCGGAGGAGGAAAATATGATCGGGGAGCTAACCTTGTTTGTCGTCACAAAATATAAAATTGTAATAATCTACTTTTAGTGAATAAGTAGTTCAATTTAAAGTAGTAAGAATTGTGCAGGCCTCTGGACTATAATATTCCCTTCGTGGCGCTACACAAAAGAAAGGTTCTCGTAATTTAGCCGGTGGCAAACTGGGCCCTTTTATAAAGAGAAAAGCAGCATCCCTTAATTCCGAGCCCTTTGTCATATCTTTCACATATGTCACTTTATTTTTTTGCGCGGCTCTCGCCTTTCGCATTTTCGCTATTCCGTATCCGTCCCGTCGATGGAATTTCGACCGAGAGGCGCTCGCGTCAAATTGAAACGAACTTCTTTCTCATTCTTCCATTTATTTATTTATTTATTTATTTACTACAATGCGAACGGCGTTCGAATGAAAGCGCCTTTATTGCCGAGCGGCTCGATAGCGAAATTGGGCATGATAGAAATAACGCGTATCGTAGAATTTCCGTACGACTCACGGGCGTTTAAATTTAAAGAATTTGTTGTAACATCCACTTTGCCCGAATGAAACCAAAATGATTTATTCTATAGGGTGTTTGGAATCGGTGGATTTTACAGGCGAGCAAGTGCTCGAGTAAGTGCGTACTGAGAAACTATAAAGCTCGAAAAACCCTAACTGACCTCACGTACTCGCCTTGAGATGTCTCGTCTCTTTAGCGTCTGGAGTTTCGTGTATAAATCACCGTGAAAATGACATAACCGAGTCGTTTTATCTCGCCTAAAAATCTTACGCGTCGCCACGAAAAAAAATAAATAAAGAAAAGCGAGCGGTCGGAGATTGAATAAACTAATTTGATAAGATTTGAAATTTAGCCGTAACGAGCAAACTTTATTTATCATTTTTGCTACTCTTTTACGTTGTTTCAAAAAAAAAAATACTAACGATGCTGTAACCAACCTCTATTATATTAACTATACATATCAGTAGGTACATGTTTTCATCGATAGTAGTTAAGAAGTCGACTCATGTAGGGCAAACCTTGCTCTTCCAGGCAATACCAAAATTTGGTAACCGTCATGTACGGAGATTCCAATTCGATTGCACATGTGTTCATGATAAATTGAGCGTCTTCGACGTCGCAAACCTCCATAAGTTTGCTATAGAGCGTATCCATATCGAAATGGCCCATATCAGAAATGAATCCGTAATTTCTGGCTAGACAGTGCAGATGCTGCGCCATCGCCGGAGAGCTTCGGAACTCATAACGGCGACTGAAGAAGTGACTGGGGATGTAATTCTGTTCAAGACAGTTCCCGTGGATCCTCCTTAGGAATATGTCTTCATCATCCGAAAGTCTAAAACCCTAAAAATTTTGTTGTTTATAGGTACGAAACAATAATTATGTGTTAGATACACTTACCAGAGTTAAGGTTGCAAATAAAGCGAACACTATTATGCTCTTCATGGTTATTTCACTGCAGAATTGTGGAATATATCTCGATACTTGGAAGCTCGCTTTTATATAAGCGCTTTTCAAAAGTCATCATTACTCTAATTGTTTTCTTATTAATTATTAATCTATTACAAAACCACCGTGTCGTTAAACATTAATTACATTTAATGATCTTGTTGCTATAAAGTAGTTCCATTTAGAAAAATCGACAAGGTCACTGTAAAATCAAATTTGAGGTAAAGTAAAATTTGCGAAGAGGAAGTAAACATTTTCTTTCTAGATTACAGTACTAATAATCGTTCGTTTTTAATGATCGATTTTAAATTACGTTGCTCAACATTGGATTCGATATTACGGGTATTTGTATTATTGCGATCGTAATCGTTAACGTCATAACTTTTAGATTAGAAGATGAAAAAACCCATTGTGAGTTAATAAAACGCCATCATTTAAATTGTCAAATACAATACGTGGAACGTCGACGTTAGTAATGACATTTTTATTCAAGAACTAGAAGGAGATTTAAAAGACAAAACGTTATAACTGTACGTTACATTAGGTACATTCGAATTTCGATGGTAATCGCCTGTTGACCAGGTGTTTTTTTTAACTAGTAAAATATACGAACGAGAGGTCCGGATTTGTGGGGAATCGAAAATATTTTTCGGCAAACACAAATCAGCGCTATTGGAAAACAATATTCAAACGTGACAAAATACAAAATGCGCTAACTTGCCGATATATATTCGGATGAAATGCATGTTTTCAAATCGCTATTTTTCGCTGAATAACCGCCTCAGGGGCGGGGAAAATATTACGCAAATTTAAAAAACTATGCTGCAAACGACAAGTGACATTTGACAGGAGATTCACGAATTTTTCTTCATAATTTAGTATGTTGTGCTAGGTGCATTCGGCGCCTCTGTCGCCTCACAATGGACGGGACGTTTATTAAATTTCCGAGCGAGATGTGCACGTGAATCCGTAATCAAAACAACAGGAAAAAAAGTGACGTCCTGTTGTTTCCGCCGGGATGGATAAAAAAAAAACTCAAAATTAACAGGCATTGTTAATAATTTAATGCAACGCTGATGAAAATCGTTAGGGATTTATATTCGAAGGACGGCGCAATTTGCGATTAGTTTGGAATATATTCGAAAAAAATTGAAATCGACGGGCAATTTTTTTAATCCAATTTACAACGCGAGATTTAGGGAATTCCCAATTCGTTCTTAATTAATAGACAAAAATCAAATTCATATGAATTTCACACCGGCAAATCACCTTTAACGTGGACGTTGCAAACAAACAAGGAACTCGCCTTCGAACTGCGACCATCGAATAAGTGTAATTGCACATTAAATTGAATGTGTTTGCGTTTCGATATTCAAACTACACATTAAAGTACTTAATTCAAGAAGCATATTTTCAGAAATTGCTATGCATACCGCACCGCGTTCGCCGAAGGATAATCACGGCCGCCTAATATCTATAAAGCCGACGGTCTAATCGATTTGTCGAGTACAAAGCGCAAAAATCGCGACGAGTAAATTCCCTAATTCTTCCGGTGCTCGCCGCGAAAGTTCCAACCCTTTACCGAGCCTCCTAATCCTCCGGTTTATTCAGAAATCCAGTCGAGTTAGAGCATATTGTCGTGGGGTACACGTAAGAGGGCGGTTTAAATGTGCGTTGTTTGCCAGCGGGATCAACCGGAATCATCCCCGAAATCTCCGGGCGGATTTCGAAACGAAAATTATTCCGGAATTTCCGCGCCTATACCTAAGCTTCATGATGTTGTTGTTGCTGCTGTGTTTATTAACATCTATAATATTGTTGCCGATTTATTTGATTGTGGTGTTTGTGTTTTATTTTATTAGATTAATTGTTCGTTGGGTGTTGAAATTTGAATTTGGTAATAGGTTGTTGGTTTTAGACAGTGCTGATACGTATTGGAGTGTCGGTGAGAATCACAGAAATCAAAGTTACATTTTAATTATTCTCCGCGATCAAATCGAAGGTGATTTAAGCGAAGAAATCAAACGTATTATCAACGAGAAATTGATTAAACAATCGGAACTGTACGCTAAAACTTTGTGTTCTCTACACACTTGTTTCGGTAAATAAATAGAGGCAATTATAAATATGTTAGTAAAAAAATATTCGATTTTTAGGTTACCCTTATTTTCTTAAAGAAGAATTCCGCGCTGAAGATTTTCTCACGACAATCGACGCGAATAACTCGCCGTACGCGACTCTAAGCGACGTAGTCTACGATTTGAGTACTAAAAAATTACCTTTGAACGGCAAAGTTTTATGGGAAATAATAATAATAAAAGCCTCGACGGAATGGAAATTGAAATCCGGTTTAAAAGATCACCAAACGCCGCTAATATTGCGAGAAAATCACACAATAACCGACGGCCTGTCCTTGATGAACCTGATAGCGAACTCCTTCGGCGATAAAGTTTTAGATTTATCCGAATATTTGAAAAACATACCCAGCACTCCCAAACGCAACGTACTAATACGATTCCTGCAATACATATTCATGTTCGTACTTGTTCCGGGTCACTTAATTATCGGATATATGGAAAGAAAAATCAACAGCAGCACTTGGAAAGGTCCTCAAATTATACACAAACAACACGTAGCGTACAAAACCGAGGAGAACAGCCATTTGGTCGACAAAATCAAATTACTTAAAACCCAAATCGGCAACACCAGTTTCACCGAAATACTCCTAACCTCGATTTCGGCCAGTTTAAACAAGCATTTCTCCAAAGTAAGACCCTACCCGTTCCGAATAACAAACGCAATTGACTCGTCTCTTTCCAGAACACCAACGCATCACCCCAATCCGTATTTCTTCTAGTAGTCGCCACCAAGAACCTCAAACCAATGACTTCCAACGGTACTCCCATCTTACGCAACCAATTCGGAATGGCGGCATTCGAGTTTCCCGTTAAAATCCATTCCAATTCCATGCTAAGAAGGCTCGAGGCTATTAAAAGAACCACCAGAACTATCCTCAAGTCTCCACTTCTGATGGTAAGTTCTTCTCTCCACGTAAAGTCTTCTTCTATATCTTCATCATCCACCATCGTATATTCTTCGTTCTTATGATTCTTCTACATTTTGGCGACCTAATGAATCATCAAAAGCACAAACTACCTCTTGTTTTACTAAATTATCATCAACAGTATCTTCTGTTGCACTTGCAGGTAGATTCCTTCATCTTATTCAATTTGATGGGGCTGTTTCCTACGTGGGTAATAAAGCGACTGTTTCCGATGGCTGAGACCGTAGGGCTGAGCAATCTGCCGGGGTTCCCGAAGATCCGCATTTGTGATGGTCGAGAAGTAGAGGATGTGTATTTCTTCCTGCCGCAAAGAGACAAAAACGGCATTGCGTTTTCGGTTCTAACGTACGATGATAGATTGCACGTGGGGTTGACCGCCGATGAGGCTTCCATTCCGCGTCGAGAGCACTGCGAGGAGATCGTGAAAGATTTCTTTAAAAATTTAGAAGATCTGCGCATCGAGCTACACCAGCGAGAGATCGAGGCACGTCGTGAACTCGTCCAAATAGATTAAAAGTTAAGAATTGTACCGTTGGTTTTGATTTAGTTAGGGCGAAGTTGATGGCGTTTTCGGTAGAATTGCCGCGCGTTTCGCAAATCCGCCCCACTTCGCTTCGAAACAGAGAACAATCCACCGCCGGCAACAATTTCCTAATCAAAGTAGGAATTAAATTCTGTCAGCGGCCGTAATCTCGTAATGTCGTGAATCCGGCAACATTTGCGGACTATCGCATCATAGTCGAGTGCGCTCCGGAGCGATGCAGCCCCGCTTCATCCGGTTTGGGGGCGCATTCCGGGTTTAGTACGGGAAATTTCACCGTTATACTCTCTATTATCGTTGACGAAAGTTCTCACTAATTCTGCAGTTTCTAAAAAATTATACGATCTTTCGGAAAGAAAATTCGATCGAGCATCGAGAGCATTCTCGAAGTATTAAATTAATAGAATGCAAGGAGAGCTTAATCGATTTTCCATTATCGACGGGTCTATATTTCTAAACTTATGATCGGATTTTCTTCCCGGGGAAACTTCCAGACTCTTTAATGCCATCGACTAACAACCTTTGTCATCAGATCGCTTCTCCATCGGCGTTGTTTTTCCCTTATACCAGTTGGTATATGTTCGTATGCTCGCCAATTTTTAACGAAGGAAATTCCCTCTCGAGCTACGAAATTCCCGCATTCCGGTAAACTCTTTGATTATTTAACCGGAAAAAGGAAAACGTCTTCATGTTTTCCAGTTTACACGGGAAAGAGAAATATTTGGCTTAATTAGTAATATCACGGTTAATAGAGCACCATCAAAGGCGCGTATTTTAGGCAATCCTGGAAATCATAACGTTCATTAACGAAGTGTTTTACACGGAAATTTCACCGGAAACATACTAATTGGCTTTCACTCCTTGTTTTTCCATTAAAACGTTCGCTTTAACGGCATTTATTACTTCTATAATATCGTGATCACACAAATATTATACATGACAAGTGACATATGACATGTGACAAGTGACTACTACAATGAATTTTCCGCTGTGAAACAAATTAGTAAGTTTTTGGTCGTGTTTTCGGAGGGGTTTTAGATGAAACTGTAGAAAACTATGAGCAGGAATCCAACAGATAAAAATTAGCATTGTTTTAAAGGGATGGGGGGAGTGGAAACGTGGCGGCCCGGAAACTGCTCGTCGTCTCCGGGAAACTTGAACTCCAAATTGATGTAAAACATTTGTTTCGGCGCGCCCGGAACTTTTATGGCGAAAATTCGTTAAATTAATTTGGCGGTATAAGCGGAATGAATGACAGAGGAATTTTCTTCGGGTTTACTCCCCTTTTATCTTTCGCTAAACTTGTTGTTCGGGGATTATGCGATTTGAAAAAGTTTACCAGATGTATATGCGCCACTTGACCCGGATTTCGTTTGTATCGTTTTCGAGGGAAATTCGAGATTTC